AATTTACGCAGGTGAAAATAAAAATACATTTCACTTGGAATCGGGGTTAACGTTGATACAAGTATGTATCACATCGCTTGTATCATATAACTTATCTTGTAGCATATATCACCGTTTCGTGCGGTCGGCTTTATTCGAACTTGGCTTCACTTTCTACTATTAGAGTGAAGTCTGAATATGACCTCGAGTCGAAAGAAAAATGATCGCAGTTCCGGTCAGCACTAGTTGAGCCAAAACGAATATGCCTTTTGTTCTGTAAACCCATTCCTTAACTAACGACAGTGTCGCTTACGGTGTTGTTGCGCAGGTATAAGGAATTCGCCTATTGGACGCGTAGCGAATGCTAAGTATATCCTTTCCATTGTAAGTTCCGTTTTTCTTTCTACAGACTTCAGGTACAGCGTTCTTTCAGCTTGAGAATAAGAAAGGCATATTTTGAATTCAATGCACTTCTGGAACAAGGCTCCTCCACGTGACTTTTCTTCACAAACAGAAATGTGAAAGTTTCACGTGGGAAGTTTCACATTTCCATCGCACGAAAATTTACGCGTCGTTCAAATCAGGCATGTCCAAGATCGTCTCCTCGATCACCACGCTTCCCCTTCTCCTCGGGAAAGGTGGAGAAGAAGCGGAATGAGACAACGTTGAAACGCCTCATAAGGAGCATGGGCGTTTGAGAGGGAGGGGAAAGGGACTCCTCCACTGACTGAAGTTGGACATGCCTGGCTTGAATCGTCAAGTTTATGTGAAATTTTTCATTTTTCACGTTTCCGTTCTAAGAGAAAACGTAAATTACACGGAGAAAACGAAAAATTACACGGGCTGTGTCGGTGAATCCGTTTCTCTCCGATCCGAGTGTACGAGTTCGTTGGCCACGTCCATTGGTCGTCGAATGGGAAGTTGTCCAGAGTGAAGACGTAAGACGCCTCGAAAATGCCCTATCCGACGGCCAATCAGACTCCCCGTTACGCGCGTCGCGTGATTCAGAGCCACGCCCCCACGCGTCGCCGTCGCGAAACGCAAATCGGCCGACCCGAAATCACTTTCGTCGCAGCAGTCTACGTAGCACCATCGACCCCGAGGCTGGCGGATCCGCTGTACGCTGCATGTGCTGACGCCACAGTGCTGCTGCTACTACAGACAGGAGTGGGTAGGTCGCGTTACGATACACACACAGCTACGAAACGTCGCGAACTGTTTTTATAAATTGATATCACGACTGTGGAGCTATCTGTGTCTCGGCGTTCCCTCGCGAGCCGTTTTCTCCCATCCGCGAGCTCGGCTGATACGTGCGCGACAAACAGCATCAGCAGGAGCAGCCGCGCCGGCCGCGTCGAATAGGTGCCACAGAAAGAGAGAGATAGAGATAGATAGAGTGTGCGTCTGTGCTGCGCGCGAGAGTGCTTGGTTGGTCGGCTGCATCAGGTGAGTTACACGCGCTCATCAGCCGCGGAACACCGTTGCTGTGCTCACCACGTGATGCCGTTCGTCCGCCGACGACGCGATCATTCGTTCTCTCGCTCGCTCGTTCGTTTGTTCGCGCGGCATTCTGATCGCCCGCGAGAGCGTGGGGCGCGCACGCCAGAGAACACCACCTCCGTTGTCGTCGGATCACCTCAATCCCGAGTGCGGTGTCGTTGCACGTTTTATCCTACCGGGCGCTCGCTCGCGCGAGCAGGTGCTGCGATAGCGATCTCGCCCATCATCATCGTCGTTGCGACTCGGCCGTCGTCCACGTTTTATTCGACGTTGGCGTGCGCTTGCGGGCCCATCGAGAAACATCGCCATGCTTGCGCGAGCGACCGACCGGGCGCGACCGCGCTCTCTCGCACGAGGTGCGAGAGAGAGAGAACGCCCGCGAGAACCTTCGTCTCGGCTCGTTTGCGCGCGCTCCACTGTCTCTCCTCTTTCTTTCTCTCGTGCGTGGTTTTCCTCGCTTTCGTTTTGTTTCCCGTCGGACGGAAACATCTAGAAAGAAAGAGAGAGAAAGACACGAATTCTTTCGGGGAAAGACGAAGATTCGCCGGAACGTGGAAAGAGATAAAGAGAGAGAGAGAAAGAGGAAGAAAGAGAGACACGTGCTGCATAGGGGATGTGTGTAGTTCGGGTTTAACGCTGTTCTACGCCGATTCGTTGATCCTCGGCTAGAGAAAGACGGACTAAGAACGGTGAGGGGAAAAGAGTAGGGATTTGGCGGGGGCGGGGGGGGGACGGGGGCGGTAGAGGAAGACTGAGACGGAGAGAGAGAGATGGCATCGCGAAAATTTTGCCATGCGCTCCGCCGAGCTACGCGCGTCGCCAGTTCCTTTGTGTTTGCCGCACGCAGTATCGCTCCGATTATTTGCGCGCTACGTAATAAGACGGGTTTTCGGTTCGCACACGGTCATCGGGACGTCTTCCAGCGGCGGTTCGCAGCCCGTGGGGATAATATCGCGCCGAGCCTCGTAGGTGAAGGAAGCCGAGCGTCCGCACGTGAAAATTGAGCGATTAATCATCGCTCGTCTCCTCTGTCCACGGTAAACGCGAGTGTGTACACGGTGTGAGAGAAGAACACGTTGGTGGTATTGTATCTCTTCGTCCCCCGAAATTTAATTCTCGGTCCTTTAATCGTCAGCCGGTTTAGTCAGCCGATCAACAATTCGAAATTTGACCGATCGTGAGAATGGAATAAGACAACCGAGACGATCAACGTGTATTTACGCGGAATGCTTCCAGCTCGAAATATTGAAAACTGTTGTTTTTTGGCCTTTTTTTCTGTATCAACCTTTGTTCGTTGACATTTAGGTGTATCGCGAAGCTGTCTTTATGCGACACGATTGACGGTTGTGCCAAAGGGTTATTAGCGTTTTGTTTTTGACATTTATATGAGTATTATCAGTGACGATCGAGGATACTTTCGTGGTAATTTATCGAAATAAGGAAGCTGACGTGGATTGTGAGAACATTTCTATTTGCGTACCATTTGGTTATTTTTCTGCACACCACTCGTCGTTGTGTATTTAATATAATGTGTTTCTTGTGAATTATTCTATCAGAATGCTATATATTGTTATGTAGGAATTCTTTCTCCATCACGTACAGAGTGCTCATTATAGTGTTTGTCATAATTCTTGAGCTACTTCCAACAGTTTGGTAAACAAAGGATGAACAGCTTTTAGTGGACCACAGGTATCAACAAAATGTTGAAATAATGTTTCTTCTTTACCAAAATATAAAGCTTGTCTTTACATTTTTAAATAGAAACATTTTTTTTTTCTTAATGTCGAGAGGGCTTTGAAACAAAGCAAATTGCAAAAAAGTTAAGTCCAGACCACAAAGTTTTGTGGAAAATAACGATTGTACGCATCAACATTCATTTGTGGGTTTTCGTTGATTGTGAACAAACGGATCCATACTTTTGACCAGCGGAGAATCTGTATTGATTTTGTGTTGGATTTCCAGTGAAAACAAATATAAATGTTTGACGCGATGATCCCAGTGATTTTTAACTGGTCTGTATTTTTATAGGGAAAATTTAACATCAGATCGGTATTTTAATTTTGTATAGCGTCAGCTCTCAATGGATATTCCATGTCACAAAGAAGGACGATATATTTCCAGCAAAATGTATATCTGATGTATATAACATTATTATATTTGCACGTGATATCACTATTCGGCTTGTTTATTTGAACATATCTCTGTTAGGTTTTTATTTACAGGAAAAATTATGTGTTTATCTAAAATGTAAAGGTGTGTTTAATGTTTCATAAAAAAAAAGTGAGGTTTCCTCAGACATTTTTCATTGAAACTTGTGCATCAAAAACCACTCATTTTTGTTTCTTTTTTATCGAATTGTTGGAAGTTACTCCACATGACCATTCTTACAACGGTCATCCTGTATACTCCTGTTAATACCACTTCTTATTATTTTACAATCCTCCGCTTTTAATCCTCAGTATTATGATAATTGCGCGATGATATTCTAATGATTGCAACGATTTCCTCTGTTTCAGACATTTGCCTTAATAATTTTAAGACTTTCCGAATCGAAGATTTGTTTGCTGTTGGAAGCAAGATATCACTTTAGAAGTTAGACAGTAAGAAGATGGTCATGGAGGCAACCCCTTCTCCACAGAGTGTCGGTCGCGAGTTTGTCCGACAATATTACACTTTACTGAATCAAGCTCCAGCTCACCTTCACAGGTAATTAACTTCGCTCCTCTATTCTCATATAAATTGTGTTTCGCGATCAAACTCCGTTCAACGGTCGTACTGTTGAATATCCACTCGTAATCCGTGTACATTTTTGCCAATTCACTGGATCGGATTTGTTCCCGAAAAGTCGGTGAATTGATCATTACATGGGTACGCTCGATGTTTCATTCGCAGCGTTTTTTTACACACACACACACACACACACACACACGCGCGCGCGGAATTAATGACGTCATTATGTAGGAAGAATTCCTTGAAGCGTCTAATGGACCTTACCCCGCGTCATCCGAGCACAAGAGCTATGCGTCAGATTTCTTATCAATCGAAATGGCGCGCGAGTTTTGAATCTCAGATACAGCCGATACTCAAAACGCCGTGATAATTCTCATGTATTTTTTTTTTTTTTTTTTTGCAACTAGATTCTACAACCAACATTCTTCCTTTGTACACGGGGGATTGGACTCCAACAGAGAGTCCACACCGGCGATTGGTCAAAAGCAGATACATCAGAAGATACAACAACTGAACTTTCGCGATTGTCACGCAAAGATAAGTCAGGTCGATTCGCAGCTCACTCTTGAAAATGGAGTCGTTGTGCAGGTAAACGGCGTCAGCTTTATTGACATTTAATGACACTTGTTGCTCCTAATCATAAGAATATATCTAATTGTTAGAATTTTACAAGTATCTTTAGGTATCTCTCAATACAATAAACTGGTATATTCATGTTCGATCGTTCCGCAGGTTTCGGGGGAGCTGTCCAATGCTGGTCAGCCGATGCGTCGATTTACGCAAACCTTCGTGCTGGCGATACAAGCTCCGAAAACGTACTACGTCCATAACGACATCTTCCGCTACCAGGACCTGATATTCCCCGACGAGGAGGAGGCCGACGGCGTGGGCGGCGTGGAGGGCGGCGAGAGCGGCGAGAGAGAGGTCGAGGAAAGCGGCCGATCCGAGCCTGAAGAAGACGAGCATCCGACTCAGCCTCAGCAGCTGCCGGCAGCTCCGGCTGTGGCCGCTCCCGAGCAGCAAACTCAGCCGCCTCTTATCCCGACGCAACAACCGCCCGTTCAGCAACCACCGATGTATTACGGCGGACTGCCAACTCCGTCGACACACGTTAGTATGGCAGTTAATATAGCGGTTAGTACAATGTAGTATAAAATAGTCAGTATAGAGATATAACATAATAGCAGGTGCACCGTCGCTACGATGTAGTAGAAGTAGTTAGACACTGAGTCTCTGCGATGTACCCCGACTGTTGCTAAATCGTAGATAAATATTGAATGATCTCACTTTGAAAGGATCTACGTAGTGAATCGCGTTGTATATTCCGGTATGCATACGCTCGTCGCTGCGGGAAACATTGTCTCACTAGTGCGTGGCAATGCATGAGTAACCTCACTTCTATCTTTCTTATCTATCTTACCTATCTTTCTTATCTATCGTATCTATCTTTCTCGTGGTCGGGTGAGGCTCTACAACCGAAAGAGACTGAGACAACAATTCGTCGCGACACAGTGTCTAAAAAAATCACAGAGATTTGGTCGCGGAAGAACTTTAGATCGGCGGCACAGTCGCGCAATTATTTTATGCTTCGTTCAGGTTTCGACATTTGTCCATCTAAACGTTGAACTTTATATGTGCGAACAACCATTCAGGTGCATCCGGTGATGCAACAAGTCCTGAACGGATCGGTGCACGAGGAGGCGTCGCTGATGAACCAACAACCGCCGCCGCCGCAGCAGCAACAGCAGCAGCAACAACCGCCGCCGCCGCCACCTCCGACCCAGCAGCAGCATCAGTACATAGCCGAGCCGGCTGCGCAGTCCCAGTTCGTGAAGGAAAAGGAACGCGATGGCAACGGTGAGCAACCGAAGCAGCAGGGCGAGGAGGAGCAACAGACAACGGAGGAGAGGAACGAGAAGCCTGAGGCGGAAGCCGCGTCTCCGAAGGAGGCCGAGCCGGAACGGCCGGTTTCGAACGTCGCCGTTAACAGCAACGGGCCCAAGACTTACGCGAACTTGGTGAAGTCTTACCCAAGCACCACCGGTGCTACCAGTCCTCAAACTCCCAAACTACCTGCTTCTCCGGTAAGTTTCGTTTCTCCGCCGTGTTGCGTGGAGATGCGGTTTCTCCAGAGGAGAGAGAACGACGAGCAAATCCCTTTCTTCTTCCAGCCGCCCATGACGAATCTACGATTGGACGACCGGACACCGTTGCACACTGCAAACAACGGATCGACACTGACGGTTTCCAGCAACGTGACCGTCGTTCAGCAGCAGGCGCACCGGGTTGGGAATCAAGCCTCGCAACAGCAACAACACCCGCAGCAGCAACGAGTTCCGAGGGGAGGACTGGTACAGAGAGGTAAAAGGAACGATCCTCTTCTTCGAAATTGTGCGTTAAGCGGGAAATTTTCGAGAAGCCTCAATCATTGAGAGATTTTTGATGCCAGTAACAATATGTAAACCAAGAGGATAATTTATAAAATGCTCTCTGACGTATAATCGAAATGTAATGTATGTGAATATGTGATGCATAGCAAAATTATTACATATTCTTGAAAACTTTGATCATTTTTAAGATTAAGTCTTAGAGGATATGTAATAATTTTATTTGCGCATACTTTAAATTACATTTTGATCGTACAAGCGGAAATGTGACACTATGAAAGATCGACTAAGTAGGAAATTAAAAAAATAGATATCGAAAAGATATCGAATAAAGAAGTACTGATAGGGGTAAAAATATGGAAAGAAAGTACAGATACAAGAATATCCGGTATTGGTAAAAAAATGTCGATACTAGAAGATATTATATCAATATCAATGATACAACATCCCTACATATAAGAGAATAGTATCGACTAAGTATCGTGCCATGAAATTTTCAGTTTCTCAGGTGTGCATAGGGCGTTAATTAACGTGGTCACTTTCCCACTTCTCTTTCAAAAGTCTTGTTTATAGTTTAACGACGTAGTACAACGACAGTTCAAGCATCAGTTGATAAAGAAAGCAGATCTTGATAACGCGGAAATATGAGCTCAGAAAGATCAGGTATATTGAATCATCGAGCAGCTTCGCGTTCTCTGGTCGAAAATTTACCTCGGTTAATATGCGTTTTATCTCATCGATATATTTTATTACCGCTAAAGCTGACATACACTGAGCGAAGGAACGAACAGCGAATGCAAACTTTTCTTTGTTGCAAGAAAAAAAAGAAACGTGTGCACCATACGAATTCGGACGTTTCGGTCCCGATTTGTTCATAAAGTTTTACATAAAAAAATTCGTGCGCGAATATACATACATTTGCTGTTTGTTCGCTCTCAGTGTGTACTTAGCTTAACGTATGAGTTTTACGCACAGTTGCGTCGCAAACAATAGTACTAATAATTATGAATTCACAATTAGTAATGATTGTGACAAATAATAAATGTTTCGTTTCACTTCCTTTAATGACGAATTAAATGATTTCTTAGACGGGGAAAGGCGTGGCACAAGACCGGGACAATACAGCGACGCTCATCAGCTTTTCCTGGGCAACTTGCCGCACAACGCGTCTGAAAGTGATTTACGCCAAGTGTTCGAACGGTACGGGAGAGTTGCCGAGTTGCGTGTGCACAGCAAATCGAACGACAGGTGCAAAGGTCCACAAGGTGGAAACAACACTGCGCGAGTGCCTAATTACGGATTCATCACATTCGAAGATCAGCAGGTTGTCACCAAGGTGTTGAATTCTTTGGTACGTTTGTCCTTTAAATAATTACGACGAAACGGCGTCCGGTTGACGATGAAATTTTGTTCTCATTTTGCTATTGTCACTTTAGCCTATCTATTATCCTGACGAGAGTGGGCAAAAACTGAATGTCGAGGAGAAGAAAGTGAGGCCTAGAATGTCTCTGGACGGTAGCGGTGGTAGATTGAACTCCGGAGACGGTGGTATACGTTCCATGGGCAGCCCGCAGCAACAGCAACAACAGCAGCAGCGTGGCCCAGGTAATGTTATCGATATTGTTATGAGCCTGCATTTAATAAGGATTCAATGGTGCGTATTCAAAACGTCCATAAGTATTTTTAACACGTTCCGTGCCATGTGGGGCGTATACGACCACCGCTACACTTTCCGTTCAGGCTATTTGCAATTCTCATTGAAAAACAAAGAATTCTTAAAAAATTTATTGTAGAGTCAAATATAGACAACTTCACATCACGTATACAGCGTTTACGACTTTTTAATCTTTAAAGTGTGGGTCGTATACGCCCCACGCGGCCTGAATGGAAAATCTTCAAAAATTACCGTGGCACGGAACGTGTTAAGGGAGTCATCCCGTGTGACGGCTTCAAAAAATCGATTTCTTTTTTGCATAAATCTAATCTAGAGCATGCATAGAATATACTGGCAAAGGATTTTTTTAACTGGTGCCCATGATTTTTCGAAAACGGTTCAATGGATTTAACACGTTGAGGGCCACGTCAGCGACCGCTGCCTGACAGCGTGTAACATGATATAGAACTATAAAATTGACACTGTTTTATGGAATTACAGAAAATTTATTTAAAATTTACTTAATTTTGATTCATTACAGGACTAATGGATTTCATTGAAACACGGTAAACATAAAAACGTTTACCGTGTTTCAATGAAACTCGGTGAAATGAAACATGGTTCTCCTTTACAGCTATTACAAAAACTTGTAAGGGGATAATGCTAATTCTTTCCGGAATTCAGTAATGCTAATAACGCGTAACATGTTGAATGAATGCCTATAGGAATCACGTTCCAAACGTAAACTATCTTCTACTGCGATAAGAAACACTGGCCCTACCATACCAGCGCTTCTAAGCGGCGCGCGTGGCCTGAACGGGATTGGCTTAGAAATACGCGTGGCGCTCAACGTGTTAAATAAAATTTTAATGGTAGATTCAGCACATGTGTGGCTATCGTGGAAACTAGAATTTTTTAAAAATATTGAACCGTTTTCTGTCCGCATAAAAAAATAGTCGCAAAAAATCATGCTATTTTGAGTTATAATTTTTAAAAGCATGCGAAAAATTGAATTTTTAATATTTTCAAAAAATCCTAGTTCCCACGATAGCCATATTCACTTATAGATTAAAATGCAATTTGATTTTTTGATTTCCGATAAACCAGTCTGCCGGAATCGTGGGCACCGTTTGTCTGCTTTTTTTTTACATGGGTGCCATTCCAGTGATGTAACTCGCCATCGACGCCATATTTTTAAATAAAAAAATTTACACATATAGTTTAAGATGTAATAAATATATAGTAAAAATTTGGAAGCTCTGTATTTTTTTATTTCGCCGCAAAAAAATGCAAAAAAACCTTAAAAAAACGGTCGTCACACGGGATGACCCCCCTTAATTCCTCAGAGACATCTCTGATAACACCGATTTCTTTGAGTTTAATCATATTAAAATTCGCAAGTTTCGGATATTGATTTTTTGCATTTATTTTCAAGTTTATTATCATTTACAATACAAATCTCGTATCATGATAATAAAATATTCGCTACATTTGCTATATTTTATAGACCGTTCTTATTTGCTAATTTGTCGAAATTGCTGAATTCACACTAATATCATCAATTTGCCGCCTCTCGATTTTTATCGCGGTCTCTGATCCGTGATTTTACAATTTCTAATTCGTCATTCGCTTAATACACATAAGGTGGACCCGGAGGAGTGATGAGAGGCGGACAGCACGGCGCGAGAGGCGGACGCGGCGGCTTCTCGCGGGGCGGCGACGGCGGCAGGGGCGGTGGTGGCATGCGACAGCCCGGCAACCCGAGCAACCCAGGCTATCAGAACCGTCGCTAATACCGACCACAGAGCAGAGCAATTACACCTCCCAGTTCCCTCCCAGCTGAACAACAAAAGTCACCGGTACCGATACGCATCTACGACCATCCGCCACCATACAAGAAAGAGAAACCAGGACTACTACTTCATACGCCGCACGACGTCGTCACCGGCGACCTCATACGCTTAAACGTCGCTTGCAACGTTCGTCAAGCAACTACCGTTGACGCCAGATGACGTTCAAGACGGAGCCGTACGAAGCACGAGCTCGAACGCAACAGGACAGCAGCCAGCGTTGACGCGCGCGCTCTCGTCGACAATCTCGGACATTCGCGCCGCGCTCAGCCGCTAATCTCGAGCTTTAACGGTGCGTCCGAGCATCCCCGTCAGTTCGCCAGCCAGTCGACCGATGATCGTCGGTTCGTCCTTTGTACACCGGGCAATCCCGCAGGACTTTACGGCGCAAGACTCGCGAACAGAAGAGAAACGAGCCGTATGTGTGTAAACAAATTTGCGCGGGAGACTCTCAGTGAACGAGGAAATGCGACGGACGCGACCTGAGGTTGGAACTCTTGCGAGGCGATTCTGGAATATAGCAACTGGTCTGTGTCTCTCCCCCCACCCCCCCTGATCGGGCCACGGTGTTCAGCTGCGCTACGCGTCGTTTCCTGTCGCGCGACGAGGGGCCGTACCGGCGGAGCGAATTCCGCCGTGCCCGGCGGCGATGACGGATTCGACTGCAGGAGGCGCCGTCGCGAAGCGGAGGAGCAGAATGCCGCGAGTGTTGTCGAGTTGAGTTGTGCGTACCGCCGGTTGTCACAAGTCGAGACGTTCCCGGCGTACGTGCAAGTTGTTGCGGACGTCAACGGGTAGCACGCGAAAGCCTGAGACTGTCCCGCGGGAGAGAGTTGCGAGCGACGAAAGAGAAGGAAAGGTTGCTTCCTTGCTCTGACCGTAACAAATGCTCCGACCGATTGGCGATCGTCCGTGGACCGGACAGTGCTCTTTTGGTCCGCAGCTGATCCCGCCCACGGACAAACCTGGGGTCCGAAATCACTCGTCGCCGGCCCGGTACATTCTGCTCGTGTCCACCGTTGCCTCTTCATCCTTACCCTCTTTCTCTCTCTCTCTCTCTCTCTCTCACACACACACACACCTCTCCTCTCGTCACGTAAGGATGATCGTATCTTTGCCTTCATCTCGCTGGTATTTTTCCTCGCGCTACAGTTCCCGCTCTCGCAGTGTCTTTGGTCGATACTCACCGGTGGGTCGAGTCCATTATTTAAGGTAGTTTTCACCTTACGACGAGCCGATGAGAGAGACTGTTCTCTCTCTCTCGCGCGCGCAGCGTCTCGAGTCTTGAACTCGAAACGATCTTTGTTGGATCAGGCTACGGAGGATATCGACCTTTCTACTCTTAGTATCTCTTATCTACCTCCCTTTAACTTCTCCGTAACATATACTTATCGCTGCCTTCGTTTTCGAGTGACCGGCGAAGAACGGGTGTTTTATCGGATCGTGTACGCGCGCAATGTTGGACGTGTGTCACCCGTTCACCGCGATATGAACGGTCAAGCGCGCCCGTGGCAGCGCTCTGCGATGCACCGTCGTTATGTATCGCCGATTCGTGGACTGCGACCGCCAGAGAACGAAAATTAAAAACAAATCTGTAATAATAATAATAACGTGCTCGACGCGGCGGTGTGAAACGCTCTAGAGACTATAATATATATATATATATATATATACCATATATATAATAAACTATTAGAAAATAAAAAACAAAAAAAAAGAGAAAAATACGTCAAAATTAAACCATGTATACACATGATTTTTTTTTGCAAAAATTGGCGTTGTTAACATGACATTAAGTTTAGTACAAGTTAAGCAACATTATATATTTACATTGGTGTCGTTATTTTCTCTTCTTCCTATGTTCCTTCGTACGTTCCGACGATTTTTTCATATAAATGTACATATAAATATACACATTACATGTGTATACACGCACATACACGTATACATACACACTGCGCGAAATGAGAGAGAAACGTTGGACTTTGTATTGGAGGCAAACGATTTTGGTATCTTCTTTCGTTATTACGACGACGACTCGTTATTATTATTATCGGTGTATACAGTGTGCGAATTTTTATCAAATCGCCCGCGTGTACCTCTCCGAAGATATGTTCTGAGGCGCAACTACGGTGAAACGGCCGGACGTTCTGTGCGACTTCCTCTCGAGATTCACGCCTTGGCACGGCGCCACGCACCCATGTCGTTCTCCCACCGTTCCGGGGTTACAATCGACATTGGTCGTGGTCATTATTGTTGACGTTGGCTCGAGTGGAGGAGAGCCGGCCGCGGTCCGCGATCCAAGTGCGAGGCAGAGGCCAGTGTCAGGCACCAAGTGTTGGAGATTGAACATTGCGTTGTCCAAGTATAGGATTCAACTGTACGGAACGAAATGAGCCAGCAGGTCTGCTCCGCGTGATTTTTAACAATATGCCGTTACCGTTATGTTGTCATTGCGCGGCTGTAACGTGCGCCTGAGAAAGCGCGCATCGACAACAGCGACATTGTCGTTAAAAGTTACGGGCTACAGGATCGAAGTCGGTCGATTTGCCGACCGATTCGAATTTCCCGATCGGCGATTCCGAATTTCCAACATTTCCTAGTCTCACCCGGCCTCACGCGTCGCTTATGTATACACGAGAGGAATATTGTAATTTTTTTATATATATAAATTTTTTTCAATTTTACTTTGTTGTTTTTTTAGCGGTGTAGAAATAAACTGTAAAGTTGAGATCTCGTTGAGGGGGAGAGTAGTGAATTTTTTAACGGTACGTTTCAGTTCCTAAAATGACACGTACGAAAACACGAGTGAGGGGGGGGGGGGGATAAATTCCATCGGCG